TCTGTTGGAGCCCATTGCTGCAGCCAGTGTCAATCCCTCTGGTGGAGAGCCTTCCTTTTTCATTGCCCCTCTACTGGTAACATGTCCAACGTAACTGATATGACGTCTCGCCAGCTTTGCCTCTTCCAAGATGGATTTGTTTGGTCTTCTGGCAGTCCACGAAACTTCAATATTCTTTGTTAGCACCACCATTCCAGTGCATCCATTCTGTGGTCTTCGTCACTGGCACACACAGGAGTTTTGTTTACTCTCCTTCTCCTCCATGTTGCCTAGTCATCTGGGGCTCCCTACCTCTAGCCTCTCACCCTCATCGGAGCAACTGTTTCTGAACAGCAATCTCAGGTTGTTACTCTGCCACTTTGAAGCTCCCACTGGTTCCCTCTGGTCTGCAAGACCACTCCTCCAAAGTCCTTCGGATGGCGTGTCAGCGTTGGTAGGATTAGACTCCCCGACCACAGAACACAGGTCTGTGCTCTGTAAAGCTAGGCAGGTGAGGAGGGGCATGGCACAGGGAACTCCCAGGGGTAACAGATATGTTATCTGGATTGTGGTGGTGTGTTCCGGCGGACCAACACTTACTTAACTGCTCTCTGTAGATAGCCCTATTTACTGTATGTCAATTATAACCCAATGAAGCTGTATTTATAAGGGGCAATAAAGAGCAGCCAAGCTGGGTAAACACCCATTTCTGAGAAGGCAGAGCGCCAGCCTCCTTTTGACTTGTCTAAATGATGACTTTTCCTGTAGGAGGAAACTGCCTTTCTACGGACAGTTTCTCTGAGAAGTTATACTCACTACACAGAAAGTAGTGCTTCTAAAACTTGGTAGACACACCCTAAAGCTGAGGGACCATGTAACATCTCTCTTCCCTGCAGCTCCCAGATCTCTCTACTTCTTCCAGAATGTATGACACAGGGATCTATTTAGAGCCTTCTGGGGGAGAGAAATTCTCATTTTCTTAAATAGCCCAGAATGCCCTTTACATCCATCAGGGCAAAAGCACTCATCTGGGAGTTCCAGTTTTTTCCCCAGGGGGTGATGAGAGGTGGTAATGGGTTGATTTATGTTCCTCTTGGGGCTTTACAGCAAAATTAACTATCCAGTGTGTACTATTCACGATGCTAGAAAGACGTCACTTGATTGAGACCCCTCATACAACACATCTCAGGAATTGTTGGCCCCTTCGTTATGAAATGGCCTCACGGCCCGGAAGGCCTTCAGAAAATGAATGGCTACACTGACAACAGGTACTGTGTCCTCCTTCCCAGCCTGAGACCATTCTAAACATGCTCGTGACTACAGATGGAGTGATACAGATGGAAGTGATAATCAAGATGAGCCAATGCTGGTGGTGGCTCTACACTACCTCTCTGGACACTTCACGATGAGATTTTATCACTGTGGTGGACAGGCCAATAAAAGGCCCTATTTCATAAAAACCTAGTGCCTGAGCCATTGCCTTTAAGATATGAAAATAAGTCTGTGAAAACTGAGAAAGAATCTTGCTAATTTCCACAATCTGGCATCACCCAGTTCACAGAGACTAATGCTTTATAAATCCTGCGGGGCGGGCTAGTGTGCTGAGAGCCGAGACCAGGCAGCAGCACTAAGTACTGGGAGTGCTCAGGCCACTGGCAGCACCGGCTCGAGTTCCTCAGGCACGAAGACCACAATCTGACGGCGTTAAGAGAAGGAACTGGAGAAAGTGGCTCCCAGGGCCATCAGGGCAGGACACCAGGTACAGTAACTCAAACAGCAAGGAGACGACAGAGAAACAGAGGAATTACAAGTCAGGATGTGACAAACCAGTCAGGGACAGAATTTACTTGTAATTTTACCAAACAGACTTTCTAGAAATAAGAGCGTTTAGGTTTGCAGAGAAAAGGCATGGTGCATATTACTCAGCAGACTCAGGGCTAAGCCCCTACTCCTAGCTGAACAGCCTGCAGAATCCATCCAGAGGCCCTTGGAAGAAAGGCAAGGCAGTCTAGTTCCAAAAGGGCACAGCCCTGGACACCCCAGGGAACCATTCTACTCAGAGTGAACTTGGTGGCAGCAAACAACATATTTGATTAAGTGAATCACAAAAGATACGCATCTAATTAGACCCAGTTCTGCATTCGTCTTTTAGAGGGAGATTCACAGTTTTAAATGCAATCGTTAAGGCCATCATTAAAAAAGACAAAGATTTGAAGCACAATTAATGTTGTGACAAAGATGAGTCTATCAAGAAGGGCCTAGACTACCAGTCACTAGGAGAAAACAGGGATTACTATGACTTGGCATGACTCAAAGGCAATGGGTAGTTTTTTTTTCAAAGAAGAGAGCAGAGAGGTGTGTGTATAATGTGGAGGGGGATTCAAAAAGGTCGCGGGAAAATGGAATGAAAAGAAAATGGACTTTCCCCATGAACTTTCTGAAGCCCCCGTGTAGGGTTGTCAGACTCATCATTGACCTGACAGCAGTGAGTTTGGAGGATTTTAGTATCTTTTAAAGAACTCTCTTAAAATGTTTACAATAAGCCAGAATTGCAGGAGGTTCTGTGACAGTTGTTGAGAAAACTGAGCCAAACCAGACTGGATGATACAAGCACTGATTACAAGCACCCCACTTGGAGAAAGAGGTGCAATTACTTCTGAGCGAAGACATTACTAATTGATCTGTGTAGTTTGAGCTAATTAGCAGACTTGTTTCTACTATGCTAATTGATTCCGTGCACGACACAATCTAATTTGCAATTCTAGTCGGTCTCTCACCCTGCTCAAGCCTTCGGATGGTCCAGGGCCAGGGCCGACTGCTCTCCACTCCTGGTAGCTGCCTGGGGCCGGCACCAATCTCCTCACATGCTGTCCAGGAGGGCTGTCCCTTTTCCCCAGAGGCGGTGAGTGCCAGCCCACCCTGGTCATCATAGCTGGCCACTCACAGTTCAGCCGTCTTGGGGACAGTCGACAAACATTCAGGCCTTCCATTTAGTCCTTTGTGCCCTGGTGATGACATCATCAACAGTATAGAGTGGTGACAACAAGAAATAGTCCTAGAGGATGGAGCCCAAGTGGCAAAGTGGTTTAAGAGTTCAGCTGTGAGAACTAAAAGGTTGGTAGTTTGAGTCCACCAGCCACTCTGAGGGAGAGAGATGAGGCAAGCTGTTTCTGTAAAGACGTGCAGCCTTGGAAACCCACAGGAGCAGTTCTACTCTGCCCTACAGGGCTGCTTGGCGTTGAGTCCGTCTGGAAGGCAGCGGGTTTGGATGAATGAGGGTGCTGCTCCAAGGTCTCTCAATCTTGTGTAAGTGGCCAGCCTGGAGAGGGCGGTGGGGCCCAGGCCGCTGTGCTCCTTCCTCACAGACTCCGGCTAGAGCACTGTCAGAGCACCACCAGTTAGACTCTCCAGTCCAGAAGGCTGCTCCCTGCCTTGGTGTTCTCAAGTTGCCAGCTACCAGCTCAGAAACTCCCACCCGCCTGCCTCAGGTGCCTCACGGGACCTGGTTGGGGCCCCGCCATGCTGCTAGTTCTCATTCCTGAATCCCAGCAACACTGCAGGCTTCTTCTGCTGCTTCAGAGGGGTTTCTTGTTGCTGTTCACACGACATCTTTGTTTGACAGCCACTAATGAACTAGAGGGACAATGCTTTAGAACAGAAGAATGAAGAGGTGCACCCAGCAGAGTTGGGTTGGCGATGATGGTGCTGAAGGTGAGCAGCAACTGTGGAGAGCAGCAGGGTGGCCTACTTCACACTCTGTGAAGACAATGGGAGCCCTGGTAGTGCAGAGGACTATGTGATGGGTTGTAATCTACAAGGTCAGCAGTTCAAAACAACCAGGTGCTCCAAGGTAGAAAAATGAGGTTTTCTGCTCCCATAAAGATGTATAGCCTTGGAAAGCTGCAGGCATAGTTCTATTTTGTTCTACAGTTCACTGTGAATCAGAATTGACTTTCCAGCCCCGAGTTTGGCTTTTGGTTGTAGGTGAAGAGAAAATGATGATGACCACAACAGTGACAACAAGAAGACCCCGTGGAGCCATTCTATCTGCTAACATGTGGGGATGCCATGAACCAGAATCAACATGACAGCCCTGGGTTTTAAGGGTAAGTGCAAGGCCCTGGGCCCCCTCAACTCTCATCTTTATGACCAAATGTTGGGGCCCGGCTTCTCTGCCTGTCAAGCAGCCTGGTCCTGCTCACACAGGCCCTCGGGTAACTCACACTACACACTCGCTGGAGTACAACGAACCAGAGGCAGTCTTCATGGTGGGACCTCCTGCCTGGGCAAACACTCACAAAGATCTCTGCAGTGCGCATGTCCAAGGGCACAACTGTGCACATGTGCCACCCCGACGCCAACCAAACAGCAACGAGAGTTAGCCCTCAGGGGCCCAAACCACAGGCTAGGCACAGGGCAAAGGCTGGTTTTAAAGAGGAGGGGCCTGAGCCTCTATAGACAGGTAGTGACTTGCTCCAAATTAACTGAACTGGTGGGTGGGACTCGGGAGTGGGCTTTGCTAAGTGTGGAGGGTCTGAAGGGAGACAGCCCAGAGCATAGCTTCAACCATGCTCCCCTGGAAGTGCCAGCAAACTCCAGGCTTCCTGAATCAGAGCCGGAAGCACACAACAGTGCCTGAGTGCCTTCTAAGAGGGCACGTAGAAGAGTCTACCAAGGACAGGCAGCAATGAGAAATGGAAGGTTTTGGGGGAACCACAGCATCCTCTGGTGGTTCTGATGAACCGGATCACGTGACCAGTTGCAGCTGTGCAATGGGAATCAGACTTTCGTTGTCTAGAAAGATGAGCAGACTGCTCTTCAGGCATCTCCAGAGTAAGCAAATGCCAGGGAAATGCAGACGCACGATGGGTGTCAGCGTGGGGAATAAAAAGTCAGCACCAGAGTCCAGGGTGAGGCTGTGCTTGAGCAATCAATGAAAAACAAAGCCACCTTCACCATAAAACGCTCGTGCATAATGAAAATGCTGCCCCACAATGATAAGAAGCATGAAAGAAACTTACCTTTGGTTTTTTGATCAGCAGCCTGGGGAAGAAAAAAGAAAATGTCACACACTCTTTCGGAACAATCACGTGTGAGACATAGACATCTTTGAAAGAGATAAACTGACTTCGAATGTCGGACATTTCAGACAAACTTTTACACAATTTAATTGTAGAATTCATTATCGGGGGGAGGTACATAATTGTCTGCACATGACTGATTACATACCAGTAAAGATCTAAAAGCTGGAATAAAACAAAAACCCTCTCTGGAAGCCTCCTTTGAGTGTGGTATTTTACACAGCCTGAAAAGAACACCATTTCCAAGTACAAGTCTTTTAAATGCCAAGAAATCCCAACATGATTATAAAGGTTTTACAGTGGGACTTTTCACCTGTAATATTTACTAACAGAATTTGTAAAAGAACACCTGCCAAGATTGTGTGAATTATCTCATGTTTTTCTAATGAAGTCAGGGCCCCGTGTGTCCTGGTCACTGACATAGACAGGGAACGTTTGCCTCACACCCCCACACAGAGGGAGTGCGTTGAAGCCCAGCTCTCAGGTTCTAAGTCCTAAGGAAGACAAGCAAGTGGCCTTCATCCGACCCTCTGCCCTGTTTCACCAGTGTCCCTGCATTGGGTCAAGAGTGGGCTGGAGCTGGGGATGCCATGGGGGCGGGGACGCTTAGGGCAGGAATAACTGGCCAGACCTTTTTCTGAGCACCTTCCTTCTTTTTCTTTTCTTCCTGCTTTTTCTTTTTCTTTTCTTCCATCAAACGTTCCTCTTCTTGTGTTTTTTGTTCTTTCTCCCTGTTGAACAGCAGAAAATGTGGTGTTAGTATGACGTCCACTTTAAAGGAGAAGATGCAGCAGCGTCCACAGTAGGGCGCCTCACTGGGAACAAGGAAGGCCCTGGGCTGCCGGGATGGCCTGAAGCGGTCTCGCACTCAGCTCCTGTTTGTCCGTGCAGACCGACTCCCAGCCTCGTGTTAGGAGACAAGGTCCAGGGTGGATCAGATACAGTGTTCCTCAGTATTTTATATATGCGAATATAGATAAAAGTAGTCATGGATAGAAAACACACACACACACACACACACACACACACACACACACACACCATAAAATAATGAGGTCAGACTCATTAATTTTCAAGCTCTCAAGCCAGGGACTACCACACTGCTCTCAGAACTATACAGGAGTACCTATTTAAAATGGATGTTTTTTGGAGGGGTGAACGGGGAAGAACATGCGACACTCAGGGCATTGGTGGTGCAGGTAAGCTACTGTGTAGTACTATAACTGTGGACACTTGACAACATATATTTGTCATGTAGCTTAGCCCACGGGAGTGAACACTAATGCAAATTAAGGACTTGAGTTAGTAATTATGTATCAGTACGCTTCACCAACATTAGTAATTATATATCGATACAGTTCACCAACAATATTATGTATCAGTACGGTTCACCAACAATAACAGATGTCACAGGGTGTATGTAATAGGCGATATACAGTGGAGCCATAGGTATGGAAGCCTGTACAGTCTGCTCAATTTCTTCTATGAACCTACAAATGAGCTAAAACGGCCTGGTGGAGCAGTGGGTTAAACATCAGATTGCTAACCCCAAGGTCGGCAGTTCAAAATCACCAGCTCCTCCATGGGAGAATCATGTGGCTTTCTACACCCATAAAGATTTGCTGTCGGGAACTGATTACAAGGAACTACAGTATATGTGACCTCCTACCTAGGGGGTGGACAACAGAAAAGTGGGTGAAGGGAGACGTCGGACCGGGCAAGATATGACAAAATAATAATTTATAAATTATCAAGGGCTCACGAGGGAGGGGAGAGCGGGGAGGGAGGGGAAAAATGAGGACCTAATACGAGGGGCTTAAGTGGAGAGGAAATGTTCTGAGAATGACAAGGGCAATGAATGTACAAATGTGCTTTACACAATTGATGTATGTATGGATTGTGATAAGAGTTGTATGAGCCCCTAATAAAATGATAAAAAAAAAAAAAAAGATTTGGTGTCTTGGAAACCCACTGGGACATTTTTTTTGGTGGGGGGGAAGGGCACTCAATTTTATTGTCCTGTAGGCAGTGATGAGTGGGAGTTGCCTGGATGGCAGTGAGTTGAGTTACAATGGCTCCAAGTGCTCAAGACGGTATGGCTAGCCCACCGCCTCCCCTCGAGAGCAGTGTCCAATTCCACCAAACCATTTGTTGTGTCTTAATCAATTTTTAAAAATCATGTAATCACATTTGTTACTTCATAAAGTACGAGTGGTCATGGAAAAAACAAAGACCCAACAGTATAAAAAGAGGCCTAAGAAAAGGATGTTATGCCAAGCTCCCAAACCCCTCTTCTGGGAGGTGACAAAAGGTAGCATTTCTGAGGCAGCTTTAATGTATCACCATGTGTGACCATACATGTATTTATCCTTAAAAACAAAATGCAGGCCATTCCATTCTTCTGCAAAGGCAATGCAACTGACTGCTGCAGATTGTACATGGATTCAGACTGTACATGGATTAATTTCGATTTTTGTGTAGCTGTTTTTTCTAGAGTTTCCAACTGTCTCTTTCTTCTTGCAGTATTTTTCCTCATAACCTGTTCTGTATGCCTTCCCCCAAAGTTTAAATATGGGTGCGCCCCCCACCTTCCATATTTACCTTCCAAGGCCTTCGGTTATGCTCAATCCAGGTCCAGAGCATTCTGCTAGTTTGCTTGTCCCTTTCCAAACCCACTCACTGGTATGAGTCTCTTCCAACTCACAGTGACAATGTGGGACAGACTGGTGCTGCCCTCCAGTTTTCAAGGGAAGCAGATTGCTGATGAAGCTTTCTCCATGGAGCAGCTGGTGGGACTCAACCACCAGGCTTTCAGTTAGCATGCTTACTGCTTTAACCACTGCAACACCAAGGCTTCTCTTAGATCCTACCAAACCCATTTTCAAGGAGTTGATTCTGACTCATTTTTCTCCTTTGGAGCTGTTGGTGGGTTTGAAGCCCTGACTTTGCAAGCCCAATACCTAGCTCACAGCATCACCGGGGCAGCTTTTATATCCTACAGTTACGGTTTTAGCTTAGGGAGTCTAATGTTAAATTCTGTTTATATCACTCTGGAGTTTCTATTTTCTGAACTGACCCATCCCTGAATTCAAGAGCCCTAGTCTTGAAGACTCATTCATGTGCCCGCTCAAGAACTATACAACTGATGCATGCCGCTTGTGGTTGTGGGTCATTGATTCCAGTTCAGAGTAACCCTACAGGGCAGAGAGCAGCTGCCCAGAGGTTTTCCTAGGCTGTCTTTTCTTCCATAGAGCATGTATATGGCGGGTTTCCAACAGTGAGTACGACACAGTTAACCATGATTTCAAGGATATCCATATACTTTGGTAAAGCAAATGATCACTATTATAACAAGTGATATGCACAAAACGCATTAAAATGAAGAGGATGAATGATCTCAGTCTGCCTGCGAGGAGGCCTCCTGTCTCATCTTGCTTCCCTGTGACAGGACAGCCACGCATCCTGATTTACTCAAAACTTCCTTCTCTCCTCTGGCCTATCAGTTCCAGATGACAAGCGCTGCCTCTTGTCTCTGCAGCCCTTCGAAGAAGTGTTACTGTAATCATCCAAAGCTTTTCTGGCACCAATTTTGGGTTCAAAATCTCAGCTGAAATTGTTCACTGGGAAAGTACCTTTTGTAAGTACACATTTCAAGGGAAACTTTTCTGATACGGTCATGTTGTGTGAGACAAATTACTACCTGCCAGGGAGGGTGAGTCACAAGAGTATTGAAAGAGGAAAAAAGTAATCATATGGATTCAGTACACTGAGGTCAGTTGAAAGTTCCTGCGCTGACAGATCGCCACAGGAACTTATTTGCACGGCAAGCCGCAAGGACAGCAGAGCAGGACTGCAGCCTGGGAGCATTTCAGTTTTACCATGTAACTTTTCCCATGGTGTTCACAGAAAGCCACAAGTGTCATTTTACATGCATTGTTCTTCCACACACGCTGCTTGGCATTCGACTCACTCTCTCACTTTCACTTGTGTCTATATCAACTGTCCCACGGTCCCCCACCTATCCGAGCTCCAGGCCACCTACATTGATGACCATGTTCACATGATAACTATATGCACACAAGCATGTCTAATAAAAAAACTCACTGCCATCAAGTTGATCCGACTCTTAGGGACCTTATCGAGTGAACATTTTTACAAAGCTTTTTGTTTTGTGCCATTGCTCTCTAAAGCTGAGATCATGTTACACACACATACCCTTGTCTTTCCTCAATAGGTGTGAGGGAAACACTACCACAGTCTTCCTCCCCACTCCCAAGTGATAGATCACATCCATTATTTCTATCTAGTAGCCAGACAATGTGCCACAGGAGGAATATACCGTGCCTCACCCAGCCACTCCTCTGCTGGTCTGCATCTACTCTGTTGCTGTGACAACTACTTCGGGTCCCCATGAGCCTCTCTGAGGAACTCAGTGAGGCAGTGCGAGCTGATCCAGCTCATGTTTCAGAGGGGAAGGGGAAGGAGCCAGGCGAGAACAACACCTGAGGGGCCACATCAGACAGAAAGCGTTTCCTGTGTGGCAGGCCATGTTGTGCTGGGGTCCTGCTATACAGATGGTGTTCTACCAGAGGGATGCATTTTCCTCCAGTATGTTTTCAATATGTTTCTTTTATTTGTGATCAGAACCCTGGTGGCATAGTGGTTATGCATTGGGCTGTGATCCACAAGGTCAGCAGTTCAAAACCACTAGCCACTCCTCAGAAGAAAAAACGAGGCTTTTAACTCCAGTAAACCAATAGCCTTAGAAACTCAGAGGGGCAGTTCTGCCCTTTGTCCTCTAGAGTCAGTATTGAGGACAGGGAGTTTTTTTATTTGTGATAATCTGGCACCACCAGTTTAAGACGCTCTGGGCAGAGTAAGAACCATCACTCACATTTTGGAAGCAGCCAAATGAGGGGAGAAGGGTGGGAGGTAAGAGATACCCAATCAGTGGGCTTCTGGCAGTCTCACCTCAAAGGTTTTGTCAAAACTGCCCATTTCTACAAACACACAGCAACGAAAAGGGTGGAATTCCGTAGGAAGACTGGGAAAGTAGCCATGAGACTAGTCTAGGTGGAAAATGCTCCAAATTCCCAGTCTTTTTGTTGGCTGATCACAGCCTCTGATTGCAGTCCCATTACAGGAGAGTGGGACTCAGCAAGAGGATGGCCTGTTTGCCTTTCAGGTTCCCAGACCAGAAACTGTCAATTTCTCATCGTTAGTTTCACACACATGACACTGCAAAACCTAGGTCCTGAAGCTGCTTAGGCTGTGTGCAATCTCATTAGACACCCACAAATCCTCTGTGTGTGTGTGTGTGTGAAAGAGAGAGAACAAACACATTGTTTAGAAATAATGCCAAATGCTGTTGCAATTTCCTTGCACTTCAGCTTAGGAAGGCCCCGTAAAGTGTTATCTGACAAAATTTGAAAGGGGAAGGTAGTGGTATCTCATCCAGCAGTTACAGCAATAACTAAGGTTCTTAATATACTCACCTGCTCCCTGCCGGAAATGTGCACTACTCATCCCTGGACAGAACATAAAATAGTCTCAGGCCTCCAGGGGTATATATGCCAAGAGGAAAGTGAAGGGCAGGCTTGTGTCACACTGAATGCCTAGCAGACTAGGGGGAGGGGAAGAGGAGAGTGCCGTGGA